AWAKCCATTCTTCAGGTKAAAGAAGGTAAAACWGTAAATGTTAATCTTGTGGCAGTACGTTCCATTCTAAASATGTTTGTTGACTCTAGGTATCATGGGTAAGGAGGGTCGTCAGGCRGTTAGAAACAGCGACTACGCCATCCCAAAGTTTAAACACCTCAAAAAGATGCTGCTGGTCCACGGACACTATTACTACATACGAGTCTCTGAGCTTGTGCAATACTTCTTCTACAAGGTGATTACCCTGCCCGAACCATATCCTGTGGTTTGGCTGCTTGTTTAAAAAGATTTACGTATATTTATAAATGTAGGACAAAAGGAACAAAAACTGTGACATACCTTTTGTAAAAGAGCTCGTTCTCTTTTCTTTTTTTTTTTTTTTGCCTCCCCCAGAATGTCGTTTTCATCTTCCCACAGTTCCTCTACCAGTTCTTTTGTGGCTTCTCCCAACAGGTGGGTAGAGACATAATGAAAGAACTGTCATGAAAACAACTAAAACGAACAAAAACGTAATTGAGCTTTTTGTTCTGAACAGCCTCTCTATGACACCGCCTACCTGACTCTCTACAACATCAGCTTCACCTCGCTGCCCATTCTCCTCTACAGCCTCATCGAGCAGCACATTAATGCCGACATTCTGAAGAAGGATCCCTCTCTTTATAAGTTGGTGTTGAAATGTTTTGGGTCGTCTTTTCTCTTCGGGTTTGGGATCTCTTATCAGCTAGATGAGCTAACATMTAGCTTGTCTTTGAAACACATCCTTAAATAGTGTTTCAGTGATCCATGTTGCTGAATTTACAGCATTTACATGTTTTGCTTTTTCATTCCAGAGCTGATCATGACTGTAATTCTGCSTTTTTGTTTCCAGAGATATTGCAAAGAACTCCTTGCTGAAGTGGTCCAGCTTTATTTACTGGACTGCCCTGGGTATATATGATGCCATTGTGATGTTCTTTGGTGCTTACTTCCTGTTTGACAACACAACTTTTACCAGCAATGGACAGGTAACAATAATATTRCRTTTTAAGCCTCTTTGTTTCATTCAGGGAGAGTTCTTTGGCAAAAATTGTCTTTGATACAGTTAAGTAATGCGTTCTTTCTGTTTTCCTCCTGTGCATTTTGTTTTCAGAATTGTTTGCACATCATTTTTGTGAAGCTCATGTTTAAATGTTGGACATTTATAATTAAAATTAACTAAAAGCATAACATTTCWGATAGTTAGCTGTTTTTGTTTCCTCGCAAAGCAAAGAGGGGTCTTGGAAATGTCCTCAATTTGCTTGTCTTGTGAGCTGGATAACTTATATAAAAAAAGTGAGGAATCGACTCTGTGGCTTCATCTAATGGCTTTTTCAAAAAAACAGTACCACCAAATGGCCAAACAACCCATTCAACGTTGAAACTCCCTCTGGCAGTTCACAAGTCACCGATGGAGGCGCTCTCTTACCACGCTCAAACGCGCCTTCAGAGTACATTTATTCAGTGCAGGATCAAAAGAGTTGCAATAAAGGGAAATAAACTCATCTYCCCTGATGTGTAGCTGCTGCTCAAGCTTCTGATGAGAGCAACAGGAGTCACAGAATCACTTGTGTCCCTTAATATATCTCACAGATCGAAATACGCATTTTTAGAGTTTTCAGTTTCAAAATAATCGGACTTTTATCACAAGCTGCGTTTCCATTGACCATGAAAATGCGCAAATTAGAATTTCGACAATAAATTTGCTCAACGGAAGCACGTCAATTTCTAAAAAAACTTATYTTTTTCGACAAAATGGTTTTGAGCTAGGATAAGGTGGTTTTTCGGCCATTTCAAAATTGGTGTATTTCTCAAAACTGCAATAGAAACACTTTTTTTCGCATCACAGGAGTCATGTGATCAGCAAACGGCTGTTTCTACTGGCGAAAAAGATGACAACAGGAAATAGAAGTAGTTGTAAAATCACTGAAGTTGTAAAAGAAAGTAGTAAACTCACCGACTACAATTTCCCAAAAATGCCGCATACGTAGCCGCTCCCAAGTAAAAGGAGCTTGTCGCTGGAAAGCCTGGATAAGACGCCGACGTCTTCTCTGATGGCTGATGATGAGCGCTAGTGCCGTGGTAGCAATATGCTATGTGTTTACATCCATTGCTGCCATGCTTGTGATGACTTATCGCGAGAACAAGTGTATTCATGCGTGACTTTAATAGCATTTCTTACTTAATGGAAACACTGTAATTGCGAAACTATGTTTTTCGACATTACCAGAGTATCGACAGAGTTTTGCGCACATTTGCAATGGAAACGCAGCTATAGTTGTATCTCCACTGCTGCATACGTTTAGCTAGTCTCTGTGCCGAACCCCTCCCACAATGTTTAAATCCAAAAAGAGTCAGTCTACGGTGTTTAACATAAGAAACCCTTGGCTGGTTGGTCTCCGAAGGTGTCAGTCTGCACATTATTCTAGATCAGAGGAGCCCAAAGTGTGGCCCGCGGGCCAAAATTGGCCCGCCAAGCCATTTGATTTGGCCCACCAACAGTTGCCAAAGTTACAAGGTTGTAACCTGTTATCCTATGTAGAAACACAGTGTTTCCATTGGTCAAATGACTATATAAAAGGGCTGTAGTGAAGGTTTTCATTTATGGTGCTGACTTTATCTTTGATTTATTAGGATTAAACATGAAACATGAAATGACAAGAAATATTTAGATCAGATTTAACCCCACATGTAGATTTGCACACTTTATAAGGCCACAAAAACTCATATTTTATCAATTTATGAAATGTCCCATGAGCCTTTGCTACTTGAGTGTATGGCAGACTTTCTCCAAGTGCACAGAATAAAACAAAAGAGGGCCATTGCATAGCTTAATCTTTAAAAATAAAGGACTTTACTTTAAAATTATTTGTATTTCATATATTATATTACTGCATTTGGCCCGCAGCCCCCCGATAGATTTTCATTTTGGCCCACTCAAGGAAAATGTTTGGGCACCCCTGTTCTAGATGCTATGCCGGCTCACCTTTTTCAGAAGTCAACATTACTACCTGAGGTACAGAGGCACTACAGAGGTGGGGTGTTTCAGCCCCCCTTCTCTGCCTCAGTGTGTCTTCTGAATGGACCAAGGTAGTCAGAACGTGTCGGTAATGTAATATGGCGTCTTCTGAAAGAACCTTAGATGTAACAAATATCTCTATCGAAAATTGGGTTGCCATGTCAAAATCCAAGATGGCCACCACCATATTTGATAATCTGCCACCCCGATCATTTGAATAAACTGTGCTTTCTAGTTTTTATGTCGTTTAAAAAGATAGTTTCCTCAAATAATTTGGGTGGCCTGTGGGGTGGCCAAAGATTAATCTGTGATGAGCAAGACCACTATCGGCCACCCCTCGGCTCTGCCATTGCARGTGGTGGTGGATGAAAGTGCTCTATCTGCTCAGCAGGACCCATCACACTGTGCCGCTTCAAACAAGGAAAAAATAAATAAATAAAATAAAATCCAGCAGACTCTGTTCTTATACCCTCTGTAACTCCTGTACCCTTCAGTATGTTTAACCAAAAATTCTAGTCCAGAAAAACTCAGAACTTGAAAACTACAAACATTCATTATTGAAATCCTTTAGCTGGGACATCAACTTACTGCTTGTTAATCTTTTTTGCAATCATTTAGGTTCATTTTTGTTTTAGTCTTGGTTTTGTTGATCCATTGTACCCCAACCTCAATGACGTAAATGTTGGATGAAATGTGATGTGACAGTTCAGACTACAGCCGTTTAAAAACACTGGATATACATCCTCTTGGTAGTTGAAAAAATCTGTTTTGTCACATTCAGATTGTCATAAAAATATTTGATATGGACCATCTGTATGAACAGAAAATGGATTTTGGTCACTATTGCCTGCAGTTTTACTCTTTTTTTTTTTGTAAAGGCTCACTTATCAAAAAGACAAATATTCTGCATTTTTCAATAATCGGTGAAAAAATGTGGCTTTTTTGTATCCACAGTCTTGATCTGCAGAGGACTGCCCCGGTACTTGCTTAGAATCCAACATTTTCAGTTCGCGTCAATGTAGCACCATGTCCTGATGAMATGGATTCCTTTTCAGGAGAGGAATTTACAAAACACCTTTCTAAAAAAGATAATCAAAGCTAAAGGCTGTAACTGTAGAAAGGAGTATTAATAAAGCAGATTATGTTCATCGTGGCAGGTTTTCCATCATCTTCTTTTGTCCTTTTTTTGGTTTATTTTAACATTTAAGCTTTACTCCCCCTCCCTATTACATTGTAACGGTTTTAAGCTGCTTGATCTTTTTTTATTGCTTGTATAATTTTTTTCTTCTCATCTTCAGCCACAAATTTGATTATTTGTTTATGGGTTTCTTCTTGCCACATTCTTGTTTTCTTCCTTTACTCTTACCTTTGTGTTGCTGTTTCTTTTTGCTTTTCTTCCCTCCTCCCAGCTAATGACAACCAACACACAGATGGTAAGCCTGTCAGTCTCTCTGCCATCTCCCTCTCTAGTTTCACTCACCTGTTTCCTGTTTTCATCAGACATAGTGCCCTGTTCACTATTCATGCCCTCCTCCTGTGTCCTCGCTCATGTCCAGATGTTTAGAAAACTCCTCCTGCCTGCTTCCTTTGTGTTATTTCAGCAGAAGGCAGATAAATGAAAACATTCCTCTTTTTATTTGCACTTCCTTTTTACAGGCTAACTGATAATAATGAAGAATAGAAGAATCTGGTGCTCTTGAAATGCTCCAGAAAGACTAAAACCAACAGACATTTTAATGAAAAAAATATGTAAGAAAATGTTTTAAACTTAAAATTAAATCAAGTAAACTTTATTTATAAAGCATCTTTCATTCATGGGTGTATACCAGAGTGACAAACAAACCCAGAATATCATTTAAAACAAAAACAAAGGCAAAAATCACTAAGCAATGGTGACTATGACATGAATTGAGTGAAAAAACAGACAAAATATAATTTGGTATATTTGGGAGGTTCAGATATGGTATAATATAAATAACTTTTTAAAAATTTAAAACAAAATAATTTAAAAAGAATTATGTATCTGTGTTTGCATACTATGTGTAAAAACATTCATTTTAACATTTGTAAACTATGTTTTACATACTTTTTAATAATGTTTAAATTCATATTTTTTAAAAGTCGTCCACACAATAAGATTGACTTTAACTGTGAATCGTCACATCAAACCGAGGATTACGTCACAATCTGGTGAAATGAGATCTAGGCACCTATAGTGCATCAGTAAAATAAAAAAAATATATAGCAATTTTGTCAACATGTGTTAAATAAATACCTGATTTATGTGTCCCTCGAATTAAATGTGCAAAATATAATCTTAAAAAATGTTTTGAAGCACAGTACCAATAACTAACAATGATTTTGAGCAGAAAACCCTAGATTTTCTGCTGGTTTTGCACGCTAGAGAAGCTATTTACAATACCAGCTGGGAAATCCCAATATTTAAATATGAACTGAGGTTTTCTCCATTAAATGAAGAAGAAATCCTCATTAGAATTTATTAAAAACTGGATTCAGACTTAATTTTTGAGAGGCGTTTCTGATCAGCAAAACAATTCAAACCAAATCTCTCGCTGATGATATAAAGATTATCGAAGTATCAAAATGAAGCGTAAAGACAAATCTAATAATGTTATAGTGTAGTTAAGCCAAGTGTGACTTAATCCTTGATCTAATGTGAAGGGTCACATACTGTGTGCCCAAAATTAATCTAAWGGCAACAAACTACAAAACAGAAAACATACTTTTTTTTCACAATAAATACTGCAAAYATTGGAGCAAATAAAAAGACTAGATTATTTATTTTCTAAAAAKAACATGCAACACATTTTAATTTAATACAGAGCTTAGTTTTAAAGCACAAAGCACTTTGTTTACCTTCAAAAATGATAGACAAAAAGATACAATGTAAAAAGAGGCTAAACAAGGTCTGAGCTTCACAGCTGCATTTTAAAATGACTACAGTGATAATAAAGAAGTAGTAGGCTATATGTTCCAATAACTTTATAATTCTTTATTCGACTAAATCACAAACCACAAGAAGCTTTTATTATTTTGTTAACTTAGTTTGAGTTGATTTTACATGATTCTTCATTTTTTTAAACACAAGCTGCATTGCAACAGATTACGCTGGACTTCTGTTTCTTCTTGATTCAGAATCAACTGTTCCCTTAAAACCTAGGTTTCCTCTGCAGAATGAAAACATACTTCAACGTAAATGTTTCCACCCATCAGCCGTCTGATTCTCCACTCTTCACCTGAATGTTGCCACCTGAACACTCTTCCATCTGTTTGATTGATTGATTCCTCTTTAAATGTCCTCCTAAGTTAATTATTAACTGGACTTCTACGTGTTGGTTTTCTTCAACCTGTTAATGCAGACACAATGGAGGCAAAAACAACAATAAAAGAAAAAAAAAGAGTTAGTGACATTAAACCATCTGTGAGTGGACTTATTTATCAGATGTGRGACGATAAGAGCTGCTGTTATTTTTCCTTTGCAGATGTTTGGAAACTGGACATTTGGGACTTTGGTCTTCACTGTGCTCGTCTTCACTGTTACTTTCAAGGTGAGCTTACAGACAGTTATGTGGCGGGACAGGCCAACGTCCCATGTTTGTCAGTGGATTTATCGGTTTGTCAGTGGGTCATTGATTAAATCTCCCCCAGGCAGTTCCTCTAATAGACTTTCATTAGGGCGTAAAATATTCTGCTCTACAGARGCATCCTGCTGGTTTTGATGTGAACACTAGACCTCACGTGAGCTCATCAAATGCAGGAATAGCATTCAGAAAAACTTGCTTTCTCCTACAGAGAAGATATTTTGTTACTATTTGGAGCAGACAAGAAGGTCCTGGGTTTGATCCCTGGTTTGCACTCAGGGTCTTTCTGAGAGGTGTTTGCATGTTCTCCTCAGGATTGCGTGGGTTTGTTACTCTGGCTTCCTCTCAGATGAAATACATGAATGTWAGGTTGCCTTCAGGCCCAGGCCTCCCTGGCAAAAGAGATCTATGATCTCCATGTAAATTTCCTGGTTAAATAAAGGTTATAGAAACAACATTAAAGAACCAACTTGAAATCATCACAAAAGCTATGTTTTTGTGTTACTTGTCAGTGTTTGCCACAGAACATAGGTATTTATTTGTATATTTAGCTAGACATGTAGTATGAAAACATAGTGGGTGTTGTACTTTAAAACGAACAATGCAAATAAAATCTTTTCCTGGTCTCTTGTCTGACTTGCAGCTGGCTCTAGATACACATTACTGGACCTGGATCAACCATTTTGTCATCTGGGGGTCGCTACTTTTCTTCGTGGTTTTCTCTCTACTTTGGGGAGGAATCATCTGGTAAGTTTTTTTGAATTTGTCTATTTTAATGAATGAATTACAGGATGTTTTATTWGTATTTTTTACCCTTCAGGCCTTTTCTGAACTACCAGAGGATGTACTACGTGTTCATGCAGATGTTGTCCAGCGGTCCTGCCTGGCTCAGTATAATCCTCCTGATAACGACCTGCCTGCTGCCAGATGTGGTGAAGAAGGTCATCTGCAGGGCGCTGTGGCCCACCACCACTGAACGCATCCAGGTGGGTTCAAACCTAAACAGATTAGGGTGTTTGATTTGTCAAGCCTTTTTTTTATGTCTTATTCTGAAATCAGGASTTTTTAAAATATCTATGCACATTTTAGCCCTTTTTTCTTCCCCTACTGAAGATGSAGAAAACTAAATGTGCTTACTCAGGTAGATCAGTCCCACTAATTTCTGCTTATTGTAATGAAACACTTCATTAACTGTGTGATGACCGRGMGRCGGTGGACATTTCTACGTCCCCACTTGACTGGATGGGAGTCTTTAAGCCCCTCCCGTCTGTGTGCAAGCACTCCTTTTTATTTCTTAGACGAGCACAATAGATATTTTTAGCATCTAAAGCTCAGAATGTTTTATTAATGAAGAAAAACGAGTCTTTACCAAGTCTGGAGTGTCTGCTCTGCTGTGAGGAGAAAAAGTGCTGTGTTGGTAAAGACGTTAATTGTTTATTAAGTTACTGACATTTCAGAAAAAAGGCAGAATAGATGCATATTTTCAACAAATGATGACAAATGATGATTTGTGGTGTTTCAAGCCAAAYTAGTCATAAATTGCTCCTTACCAGGTGGATTACCACAGCATCTGTTCCAAACAAACATTAAACTTTACTGCATTGATTTGAGAGCACAAAAACATCACTAATAGCACCAATCATCAATTTTTCATTAGACTCKAGCGTTCGGTTTGAAACAGGAATAAAAGAACAGAGCAGACATATTGGCTTCAGAGGGATGAGATTCAGCGTGTGAATAAATAATAAATGTTAAAAGGCTGCAGCTGTCTCCTYAACAGAAAGACTGTCCTTTTTCAACTTTCAGCACCTTTTAAACGTCTCAATCTTTTTTTCAATCTGCTTGTTTTTCTAAAATTTGACCAAAAAAAGAAAGTTTTTGTGGCAAACGAATCCCTTGAATCTGTCGAGATATTTTTAGCCCTTTAACATTAGAAGGACGGTTTTTAGCTGTTTTGAAGTGCGGTTCTGTGGAACAATGAACAATCAATATCTTACCTGTAGGCAGCTTTTTTAATGATCTCAGCTTGGAGAAATGGTTTAACTTTGGCATGCACGGCATCAGGCGATATACATTTTTCCAGAATATTATATGTTTACTCAGATCTCTAGATTTTTTTTATTTTATTTTCAGGACTAAAAGCAACATCAGGAGCTAACAGTAACACCTTTGCTATAGCCTGGGTCACTGCCTGTGGGAAACTCATTATTTCTACCAGAATAATCATGAAGTGTTAAATTGAAGATGTTATTAAACATCTTACAGTTGTTTTAAAAAGGCAGAAATGTAGTCAGAACTAACCTTTATGGCTATGTTTACACTGCACACAAAAGTGAACCAAATACTTTTTTTTAACCCACATGTAACCTATATTTGATTATTGTTTTTTTATGACAGTCGGAACTTGACAAATCTATTATTTTTTTAATCCATCCCAGGTCATTTTCATGTGTGGTACTAAAACAGATACAGTATACTGTATATGTGATGGTTTTTTTTAAAGTGACCTCAGTCTGAACGGTTCTGATGCTTTTCAATCAGACTCTCCTGCCACAGAGGGAGGAGTAACTGGAACAATCCAGATATTWATATTATTGATGCTGTCATGCAATTTCTCTCTCCCACTTTCAGATAGAGAATTCCTGTCAGTTAAACTTTTCGTCTTGTAAGTGGGAAATTCCCACTTCCCAGTACAACTGAGCTGGTGAAAATGCAGCTAAATGAGGCATTTTTTCAGTGCCTGGCCTCAAACCTGGGTTCAGCATGTTTGCATTAGCCCTTATGACCCAGTTCCACCCAGGTTTGTGGAACCCTGAGATCCGTTGGTTCTAAACAGACCAAGATGCTCGGCCCCATTTGATGTCAGCTACTGTTGCTCATTGATTGGTTCACTGACCGGGGGGTTTATGTGATAGAGATGAAACTAACTTTATGTGAATTGTTTGTATTTAAAAAAAAGAAAAGAAAAGAAAAAAAACATTTTTCTCTACAAGATTTTAACTACACAACAACAGCAGCAAGCTACCAAACAACAACAATCAGCTAAAACTCACTATTAGCTTACCATTTTGTGTCGTCCTGCCCTCTCGTCTTAAGTCATACTACTGGGTGGTCAGGTACAGCCTTCTGTAGTTTTCCTTTGAGTTTGGTGTAATTTTTACTGTTTTTACTGTTACTTGAAGGCCAAATTGAATGCTGCGGTGGCCCCAGCGGCCTTGAGTTTGACACGTGATCTTGACCATTCAATTTTCATAATATTTGTATTTACAAGATGACATTGACAGGTGTGTGTTGAGAACCTGTTTTTAACATGTTCATTGAACATGACTTTACTCAGACTCCTACTTGAGCTAATGCAGAGTGGATCCACACATGCTAACTCATAGCATCAATACTTCTGTAAACACAGCATGTGTATGACGTAGGGCTGGGCGGTATGACCTCAAATTCATATCACAGTGTAAATTGAATCCCTTCACGGTAACGGTATATATTGCGGTATAAAATTATCATAAAAAGTAAAGATAATGTAATCTTTAGAGCATTTTTTGCAGAAAACTGTAATCTTAATCAAACCCAAAGGGTTCAACAAGATTTTTTTCTTTACCTGCCCGAAAAGAAAAGTTACCTGCCTGAAACAAAAACGTTCAAAATTCTGATAAAATATAAGAATAACGTGTACTGTATTTATACTACAAAAAGATTAACATAGTTATACAGAGGTACATAATATATGACATCTGATTTAGCTGATGCAGACTGAGTCACTCACAGTCAGTCAATTGTTTTATTAAAAACATCTTCTAAAACCTTTTTAGACTTTTCCAGTGATTCCCCTACAGTACTGGCCTTGGGAGGGCAGCTTATTAAAACAGAATGATCAACAGCAGCAGCTTTGTTTTAAATATGATTTACAGAACATGAAAGTCTGCAATTTGCATTAATTGAGTCTTATATAGTGAAGCTTATATCTAAAGATACATTTAAGATATCTTGAAATGGAGTCTCCCTACAACTTAATGATAAATCTGATGTTATTTATACTAGTCAGAATATAATTAGATATATCTTAAATAGGTATTTTACCTTGTCAAAATACTGTATATTAAGAGATGTCTATTTATTTGTTTGTTTCATTCATTTATAAAAACAAAACAATCTATGTACACCTAGCCTGTTTAAACCAGACCCTGTCCTTCACTTTGCTTCGTACAAGGGTCTGGACTTGATGCATAGACATGTGATTCTTGCAGGAGGCGTGGCCTCTGCTGAAGTTTAAAAGGACTGGATCAGTTGGCTGTGACGTATGTTGCTGTGACGGAGGCTAAGCTAAGAAGCTAACCGGAAATCTCGTGTGCTGTAAACAACCCTACTGAGAGGAGAAAAGTATCGAGCCAAATGAGACGACTGTAAATGAGAGCTGCTGCTTTGTCAGACAATTTTAATATTATTTGGAAGCCTTATCAACACAGACTGGCTTCATTCACTTCCTCCACTGC